CCCCAAAACCCCAAAACCCCAAAACCCCATTAATCAAATTCTTGGGTATTTAGGAAATCAAGTTTAATTTTAATAAATCAACTGGAGCAGCTAACACAAAGGTCATATGCCCATGAAGGTGGAGGTTATGTACTAATGTCTGAGACATTTTGCTCATTATAAGGATCATAAGCCATTTTAAGTAACTCGTCTACTCTTGAGAAATCATCATTCTCAGCAAGTCTGATTGCTTCTTCCATTAAGTAATTTCTCAAAATAAATTTGGGATTATGGGAATCCATAGATTTCTTTCTAATCTCATCAGAAATTGAAGCATCCATATTGGACAATGCTTATTTATAAAACAGCACCCACTTCGTCCAAAGCTCCCTATTTTGATCTAGTTGCTCTTATTAAGATTATTAAGGTTGTTTACTTTAGTTTTCAATTTCATCAATCTCTTTTCTAGCTTCTTCTGGATCAATTCCGAACATATATAGAGCATTTGGATTTGAATCGAGTAATTATTTAATTCTAACAATAGCTCCAGCTGAGTATTTAGGCTTTCGTTGAGCTCTTACATGTTCGATAGGAGCTGAATACTTAACAAGATCTTCAATTACTTATTTATCAGAATCATTTAGTTCTTATACCCTAGAAACTTTTGAAAGCACTCTAAATGTGTTTGTGAAATCTGAACTAGTTTATTTCATCACATCAAATATAGACTTGATGCACTCATATTCCAAATCTTCTAAGCTTTTCTTGTCTTTCAACTCATTTAATACAAACCCTAATTTCCTTCCCATATTATCAAGATACTTAGCAGAGTATAAAGCATCGAAGTTATCATCTATATATTTCTTTGTTTCACTCATATCTATGATAGGGTGAAGAGCTTCAGCCAATTTATTTAAATTCCATTTGCAAATAGATGGCTAGTTTTCATATGAATATCGACCTTCTTTATCACTGTAGTTTGGAATAAACTTTGGATTGAAATGCTCTATGAATCCATAAGGCCCGTAATCAATAGTCAATCCTAAAGCACTCATATTATCAGTATTTAAAACACCGTGAACATAACCTATGGTTTACCAGTGAGCTACTAGCTCTGCAGTTCTCTTGGTAATTTCTTAAATATACAATTCAACTTAATCTTTCAAAGAAGGTACTTTGTAGTAAATTTCTGGAAAATAGTTCTTAAAAAGAAATTCTAGCATCTATGGCATTAGCTCATTTTCCATTCCGTGAGAAGGCCCTTCCATTCCAGAATATTTGTCTTATTTTTTAAATATTTCAAAGCTTCCAAATCTGAAGAAAGAGGGTGCCACTCTCATTACCACTGCACATTTCTCCAAAATTACATTGCCAGAGTAAATAGGGTCTCTCTGCACTTTGGTGTCACTTACTATTAATGAAGCTGCTCTTGATGTTGGAATGCCAAGATATACAAAAGCTTCAGAGCATAAAAATTCCCTGATTGATGATCTTAAGACAGCTCTGCCATCTGCAGTTCTAGAATAAGGTGTCTTCCCTGCTCCCTTAAACTATAATTCCCAAGTTTATTTTTTAGCATTCTTTATATCTCCAAGTGATATTGCTCTTCCATCGCCAAGTTATCCTGCAAATACCCCGAATTAGTGACCACAATAATTATGCGAAATTGGTATGCTTCCTTCAAAAAGCTCATTACCGCAAAGCAACTCTGCAAATCTATCATTAGTCTCTTAATTTTAATAGATCTTATCATAGTCTAAGCCAAGTATTTCTAAGCATCTCTAACTTAAAGATCCTATTCTAGGATTGAGCAAAGGTGTTGGTGTAACTTTTGAGTAGACATAACCTGGAACCTAAAATAGAACAAGTTTTATGATGTTTTCAGTAAATGGTATAATAAAGGATGTGAATGTCTACATACCTGTCTAACTTTATTTCCGATATTTTCATCAATCTCGAATGAGTTGTAAGCAGTATTTACAAACTCTAATTTTGGATTGTATGAATTAGATAATGTTGAAAAGTTTTAATTAGTTTACTCAACCATTAATATCGTTTAGAATTATCTTCTGAAAGATAAGTTTGCTATTTTATATTACAATTGCTTTAACATTTTCTTATCTACTCAGTCTCAAAGATAATATCTCTTGGGGTTTTGGGGTTTTGGGG